CGTATATAAATAATGTTTTGTAGTGGCTATATATATATATATATATATAAGAATGTTCATATATTTGTATATAAATATATTTAAGTATATATATCTATATATATTTACAAATATATATATTTATATATATATATGTATGTATGTATATGTATATGTATTTATATGTGTATGTGTATGTAAATAGATAGATTTATATATATTAATGTATCTATATATACATGTATATATATATATATATAGGTGTGTGTATAGTACTGTGTGTGTGTGCTATATATATATATATATATATATATATGCGTGTGTATATAATATATAGGTGTGTGTGTATTACTGTGTGTGTGTTATATATATATATATATATATGCGTGTGTATACATATATATATATATGCGTGTGTGTGCGTATCTGTATTTAATTATTATATATATATATATGTGTGTGTGTGTGTGTGTGTGTGTGTGTATTTATTGTTAAGACTATTGAGGGTAGAGTGTACTGGAGATATATGCACCCACTACACGGGGGTGGCGCAGCATTTCTAGTATGTGGCTAAGCTTTAGGAAAATTAGATGTCCTCTCTTAAATATAGGTTCTATTGCCTCTACTTAAATATAGGTTCTATTGCCTCTTAATTGCTTCATATGCTTATCGAATTCTGATTTGCTACTCACAATATTGACAGTAAGGTGATGGTTATCCCCAGTATCCATCTAATTTACAGTAAATATTTGCCAGTATCGTCTTATTCTAGTTTAAGATGTGAGTAGTGCTACCAAAGTGATTTTTATGATTATTTCACTACGTATGAACAATGTCCTTCGAATCATCAATTTTTTGTGAGGATGTGTTTTGTATATAGAGCTCTTGCAGTCTAAATACTTCTTATCAAAAGTTGTTGAGAACACACTATCTATTTAGGCTACCGGGTTCAATTTTTCTTTTATTTATACCCTATTTCCACGAAGTGAACTTTGACATCGATAACTTATCCTGACCGTTCACAATATCTGTCCCAGTGGCGCTTAGGGATAGTTTGTTGCGTGCCTTTATAGGTGATGCATTCGTCAAAGGCACCGTTGTATAGTTCATATTTACGGTCTGTGGCTGTGAGCCCAGTCTGTGTGTATTCGAAACAAAGTGCCCGTCGACCGAGCGCGATCGGGACCTTTTCGTCAGAATTGATGCATTTCCATTCATCGCATACATTGGTCGAGCATACCCTGTAGCTTGTTCGTATTTGGGCTGCTTATCTGGTTTGTACTGTGCATCTGATTTTGCTTTCAGTTGTGCTGCATGTTGGCGAGTCTGCCTAGTTGTTGCCATGGTGGACCTTGTAGGAGCTGTGTACACACTATGATTCTTTCTGTCTAGTATGCTACCCATGCTTCGCGTCAGATCTCTGTCTGCTGCATTAAGCGGTGACAGTACATCTCTCAATTCGGAAAGGTCGATTAAAGAACTATTCTGCCCCGCTGAACTCCGCATGTGTGGTTTTGACTCGCGCCTGAAAAGCCCGTTGGTATGGTTACCGCAGCCTCGACGGTCATTCATTGCACGACATCCCGCGGAGGCAAACACTTCAGACTGATTCTTCTTACCACTTGACGGATAAAGAATCTTATTAGGCTTATATCCCTTGTCTCCGATTTGATAACTATCATCGTCAGTTTGATAGCTATTCTCGCCATGTTGGTACTCATTCTCTGATCTCAGTTGCGATTTTATCGACGAACCTGGTACCTTATCGACGAATTTGATCATAGGTTCGCTCGTAGATGTGGTCGTGAGCTCCCGCTTCAGCGCTGAGGTGACAGCTAATCGTTGGGCGATGCGACTGGATGGTGACTCAGGCCAGTTGCGTGGTATTTGACGCAATGCACTGCCCTCGCTTTGATACTGAGCACCTATTGTCTGGCATCGCGTGATGGATGGGGCTGATACCTGTCGTTGTTGAATCCATCTTGGGTCTCTCCCGTATGATTTTTTGCCGTCGCGAAAATCGCATATCGAGTAGTTCGGGGTTGCGCCATTCTTGACACCATTCGCACTTACGGAAGGATTTATTCCGTGGTTCGGGACCAGTGCGGATTGCAGATGTTGGAGGTATCGAGATGGGTTGCTATTTCTGCGGGTGTACGAAGTATGTGTGAGACCACTCTGATAGTGTGTGGTCACACTATGTCCCGATGTAGGACCGAAATGCGCTGGTGGCCTAGTCCATGAATTTGAGCGCGTATATGAGCCTTTAACATCAGATACTACGCGCACTTCTTCAGATTTGCTACACTTTAGGGTTTGTAACCCTCTGGAGGACGAAACCTGTGTGTACGCACCTGCAGGACCTGGTTTTTCCTGTGCTATTTCATGTTTGCGAAATGTGAGAGCTTGTGGCCTTGGCTGGTTGCTTTCTGTGACCGCAGGCGCAGATGTAAAGCGCGCAGATGTAAAGCGCGCAGAAGTTTCAGGTGTACAACTCCTAGATGGGTTGCTATTACTGCGGGTGTAAGTGGTATGTGTGCGACCACTC